AGAGAGAGAGAGAGAGAGAGAGAGAGACGACCCGATTCACAAAAGTACAGTACATTAATATTTTTTTTTCCGGTGTTTCCCATTAACTGGTGGCGAGAGACCTGCTTGGGTTACGGTAGAGCTGGAAACTTTGGTCATGCGATTTTATAGGAATTTTTGCCCTCGCTGTCTCGTGTTGTGTTCTTTTTGCTTTGAGCCAGTTAGGATGAGTCTTCATTAATTACTACTTTTGTTGTTCACTTGAATCGAGTATGACGATCATCCAGCTATGATACAATGATATGAGTTATTAGGGATGTCACCTTCATTGGTGAGTTTTGAAGTGACTAAAGAAGCTGATACGAGATCGGCAGAGTTGTTCACAGATGTTGCACATGTGGAGGGCTACATCGAGTGCGGGAGGGGCAGTGGCAGCGTCTTTCCGGCGTTGGCGCTTGTCTGCCTCGGTTTGCAGTCGGGCTAACTCGAAAGTATTGACACCTTCACGTGTGGTGCTCCTCCAAACGTTACGGTGTGGAGTAATCGACTTCCAGGTGAGGGGGAACGACTTGGCACTTTTTCAGGTTTGTCTTAAGACTATCCGTATACCTTTTCCGTTGCCCACCAGCGTTACATTTACTATTCGTTGGGTGACTGTAAAGCTGCTGCTTTGGCAGTCTACTGTCGTCCATGCGGGTAACATGGTCAGTCCAGCGTAGTTGTTCATGTATAATGATAGCCTCGATGCTCCTACAGTTGGTGTCAGCACACACACACACACACACGGTCACTATATCTTCCGCGCCACAACACAGGTTCTTCAGTGTCACTTAACACAGTCAAGGGCTCCAGTGATGTACAGCTTTTAATGGCTTTTATTGTCTCGGGCGACTTGAGCTCTATAAGGGCTTAAATGACCAGGTTTAGGGACGTTCAAAGAAAGAAAAAAAGAACTTGCTTCTATCCTCAATAATCCAGACCGGAGGATTGGGGTGTGCGTGCGTGCGTGCGTGTGGGGGGGGGGTGCACCAGGGTAAGAAATCTTGGTTCATCTTAGGTCCAGAACTAAACCTCAGGATCTTAACTAAACCCTCAGGTGTAAAAATAAACCTCTCAAGCTCACAATTAAACTCTCTGGTCCACGGTGAGATGAGCTGCAGGTAGCAACAGGTGAGGCAAGACGCAAATTACCTGTGCTCACCTGTATGTACCTGTAGCGGCGCTTGTGTCCAGTGGTTGTGATGTTTTTAATGATTGTAATGATAATGAATTTAGTTGTGACGAGTTATAGTGAAATACTGTTGTTATTATTGATATTATTATTATTGTTATTGTTGTTGTTCTTGTTGTAAAATTAATAATATTAAAACTGTTAATGGTGAATATTACTACTTTGAGATTAGTAATATTAGAATCATTTTAATAATAATAATAAAATAATAATAATAATAATAATAATAATAATAATAATAATAATAATAATTAATGATACCATCAACAACAACAATATAAATAAATTACAGTAAAATAATGCAAATATTAATAATGATGATAATAATAATATTGGTAAGAATAATAATTTCACTGGCCAGCAAAATATGACACACATTATTATCGTCTGTAACAAGAATGGCCCTCTCACCCCACTCCCTCTCACCTCCCTCCCCCCTCCACCTATTCACCTCCCTCTCTCCTCCTCCCCACTCCATCCCTCCCTCTCTCCCCTCTCTATCACCCCATTCTCCCACCCCCACTCCATCCCTCCTCTCACCCCACTCCCTCTCTCTCACCTGACTCTTGTTGTACCATGTTAAGTCAGTCGTAAACAAGCCTCCAGTGTCACATCTGCTACAGGTTAAAATACACCCTGTTTATCCTGACCAGTTGAATTGTATTGTAATAATTATCGGTGTAGTAATTATATATGAGGTGGTATGTAAATTGTAGACGAGAGAGAGAGAGAGAGAGAGAGAGAGAGAGAGAGAGAGAGAGAGAGAGAGAGAGAGAGAGGCTTACTGTCTTAGCCTCTATAATAATTATCTCGTCTCCAACCGGAAAAAAAAATTTACTCGGGATTATCTGAAGAAAAAAAAATTTGACCCAAGAATAATGAGGTGGAGGAGGAGGCAGAGGTGAAGGAGGAGGCAGAGGTGAAGGAAGAGGGGGAGTAGGCAGAGGTGAAAGAGAAACAGGAGGAGGCAAAGGTGAAAGAGAAACAGGAGGAGGCAGAGGTGAAGCAGCAGGAGGAGGAGGAGGAGGCGGCAGAGGTGATGAAGGAGGAGGGGAGAAAAGGAGTATGGCAGAGGTGAAGAGAAGGAGGAGGGGTAGGAGAATGCCAAAACCTCTTAGCCCAGCGAGACGAGGTTGCATTGGAGCCAGATAAGGAGGTTTGCACTTAAGATCAAGCATTACCCATCAGGGCTATCACCCGGCCTTCATTAATGACACCACGAGGCCTTTTTATCGTTCAGTGGCCCCTCTCCTTCCCTCCCTCCCCCCCCTCACCCCACTCCCTCCCCTCTCACCCCACTCCTCCCTCTCACCCCCCACCTCCTCTCGCACCCCACTCCTCCCTCTCACCCCACTCCTTTCTCTCCCTCACCTTCCTCCTCTACCTCTCTCTCTCCTCCTACCTGCCCCTCTCCTCCCTCAGCCTGCCCTCCTCCCTACCTGGGTCTCTCCCCTCCCTACCTGCTCCCTCCCCCTCCCCTACCTGCCCTCTCTCCCCACCTGCCCTCTCCCCACTCCGCCCCTCCCACCCGCCTCCCTCCTACCCGCTCCCCCTCCCACCTGCCCCTCTCTCCCCACCTGCCCCTCCCCGCCCTGCCCTCTCCCCACTCCGTCTCTCTCCCACCTGCCCCCTCCCTTACTCATGGGTCTCTCCTCCCTCTCCTTCTCTCTCCTCTCTCCCTCAACCTACTCCCTCTCTCTCGCACCTACTCCCTCTCATTGCACTCACTCTCTCACCCCCTTTCTCTCTCTCTCTTCACACTCACTCCCTCTCAGCCAACTCTCTCCCTTCTTCTCACCCCACTCACTCCCTCCTCTCTCACCCCATTCACTCCCTCTCCGTTGGTACACGGATGGGAGAAGGAAGAGGGGAGGAAGGGAGACGAAGAAAGGGAGGCAGGGAGAAGTAGGTCTGGTGCTTTTAATGGAGCGCTGAGTGTGACAAGGTAAAGACGCAAGGGCAGGGTGTGGCAGGGTCCGGAGAGACAGGGGCAGGGTACAGAGAGGCAGGGGGGGTACAGAGGCAGGGGCAGGGGGCAAGAGAGGCAGGGCGGGGAGAGGCAGGGCAGGGCAGAGGGCAGGGGCAGGGCAGAGAGGCAGGGCAGGGGGCAGAGAGGCAGGGGCAGGGTCAGAGAAGCAGGGGCAGGGTACAGAGAGGCAGGGCAGGGTACAGAGAGGTAGGGCGGGGTGTAGCACATCATATTAATTTTACCAGAGACAATTATGCCCTTTACGAGCGACTGTGAGGACCCCATGTACCTTTCCCACCCAACCCACACCTCCTCCACCACACTCCTACCCCCACCCCCACCCCCACCCCACGCCCTACCCCTACCCCTACTCCACCCCTACTCACCCCACACCCCTACTCCACCCCACACCCCTACTCCACCCCACACCTCTACTCCACCCCTACTCCACCCCACTCCTACTCCACCCCACCCACTCCACCCCCACGCTCCTACTCCACCCCACCTCCTACTCCACCCCACCTCTCTCCACCCCACGCTCCTACTCCACCCCACCCCTACTCCACCCCACGCTCCTACTCCACCCCACGCCCTACTCCACCCCACACTCCTACTCCACCCCACGCCCTACTCCACCCCACCCCTACTCCACCCCACACCCCTACTCCACCCCACCCCCCCCACCCCCAACACCCCACGCTCCTCCCACCCCACGCCCTACTCCACCCCACACTCCTACTCCACCCCACCTCCCTACTCCACCCCACCCCCACTCCACCCCACACCCCTACTCCACCCCACCCCTCTCCACCCCACACACTCCACCCCACACTCCTCTCCACCCCACACACTCCACCCCCCCACTCCACCCCACACTCCACCCCACTCCCACCCCCACACCCTACTCCACCCCACCTCCTACTCCACCCCACCCACTCCACCCACGCTCCACCCACTCTCCACCCACCCCCTCACCCCTCTCCACCCCACCCCACACCCCTACTCCACCCCACGCTCCTACTCCACCCCACGCTCCTACTCCACCCCACGCTCCTACTCCACCCCACGCTCCTACTCCACCCCACGCGCCCCTCCCTTAACTCTAAATTTTGTCACTACAATACATTACTTAATTAGTTGAGTCTTGTTTTAGAGGACAAATTAGTCGCATCTTTAGTCAAATTTATGCTAATTATTTTCGCAGGTAATTTGTACACCTTGTTGATACATATCATAGTGTTTTGTACAGGTAAGTAATGTAAACAGATTACAAAGTTTTTGAAGCAATGGTGATGGTGGGTGTTAAGGTGTTGTGTTGAAAGATTGTTTTGTGGAAATGTGTTCAGGTGTGAGGGTGTTGTAGGGAAGATCTGATGTTGTTGCTGTTATTATTTGGTGTTATTGTTGTAGTTTTGTTATTATTATAATTGTTGTTTGTTGTTATTGGTGTTATTATTATTATTATTTTTTTATTATTGTTGTTTGTTATTATTATTATTATTATTATTATTATTATTATTATTATTATTATTATTATTACTATTATTATACGTAGCACTAATTGTTCTCTCTTTAACAGGTACTGCTCTGCCACGACGGACGCTGTTGGTGCCCGGGATAGCTTAAGAATTAGGTAGGGTAATACGTGTGCGTTTTAAGGCCTGACCAGACCAGCCCCGGCCATTAATCTCTGACACTTAACGCTGATGGGAAATGTCTCACTCTGGCTTATTCGTGTGTAGGTCCATAGTGCCGTGTGTGTGTGTTTGTTCCCATTAACCCACATAGGACCTCACCCCATCAACGCACTTAAGACATCACCCCCATCAACCAACGTAGATCTTCACACCCTATCAACTGGTAGCCTCAGTTTCATGTCTCCTGCACCAGCACCCCAGGCTAGGTCTCCTCACCCGCGCGGAATGTGTCACTGTTTTGGTTGGCTTGTGCAGTGGCGTCACCCCAGGGCGCGTTGCTTCCCCGGGTCTTGTTCACACTCACACATTATTATTACTATTGTTATTATTATTATTATTATTATTATTATTATTATTATTATTATTATTATTATTATTATTGTTGTTGTTGTTGTTGTTGTGGTTAGTAATAGTAGTAGTATTAATGTTATTATTTATGTTTTTATTATTTTTATGATTGATATTATTATTATTCGTTATTATAGGTATTGTTATCAGGGTACAGAATTGTCTTTGGTCGTGTGTGTGTGTGTGTGTGTGTGTGTGTGTGTGTGTGTGTGTGTGTGTGTGTGTGTGTGTGTGTGTGTGTGTGTGTGTGTGTGTGTGTGTGTGTGTGTGTGTGTGTGTGTGTGTGTGTGTGTGTGTGTGTGTGTGTGTGTGTGTGTGTGTGTCCCAAAATAACTTGAGAACCAGTTTACAGGTTTACACCGAACTTGGTACATTTGATCGACATGTGACAAGGTTCGTCTGATAAACTTTTGGTGCAAATGACGCTAAAAATATACCAAGTGTTCCCATGACAACTGTTTGGGTGTTAAGGAAAACGATGACGTGTGACAGTTTCTAGTGGCGACTACATTAATTTATAGTAACAGCGTCACTCCTTCGATAATTCTTCTGCTATGATAATAGAATGCTCCTAACCCCTCGAGGGCAGGGTCTTATCTCCAGAGGGCAGCTCCTAACCCATTGGGGGCTGATCTTCCCAGCAGGAGTTGACCCGCCGTCCTGATCACAGCCACCGAAATCTTGGGTGCATCTCTCCCTCCATGTTTCTTTAATTGTAATCGACGCACATGTTAGGGTAGGTTAGGTTAGGTTTGCTTATGTTAGTTTAGGTTAGGTTTAATTATGTTATGGTAGGTTTGATTCGGTTAGGTTGCATAACGTCAGGTTAGATTATATTATATAAGGTCAGGTTAGGTAAGGTCTGGTCAGGTCAGGAGACCTCTTGTTTTAGCGTGCAGATACCATACTATAAAGAACTCCCAGAGAGGCGAACTGGCTATGTGTGAGGAGGTGTTGAGACGCCCTCGTGTATTGTCAGGTGTTGATGCTTTATTACAGGTGACCCCGACAGGTTGGTTCATCTGTATGTCTGTTTGTCAGACATGTGTGAGTGTCAACAAGCGTGCTATTAACTGCTTGACGTTATCCCACAATTTATCAGAACGTGGACCTCCTGAGGCGAGCAAGCAAGAAAGAGAGTTGGACACACACACACACACACACACACACACACACACACACACACACACACACTTTATGTATTTAATTTTGTTTGTTTTTGAAAATATATATAAACTTTTCGTGAAGCAACAACAGTTTATTTACCTCGTGTGTGTGTGTGTGTAAATAATAATAATAATAATAATAATAATTAACGGTTTATTGAAAGAGCTTGGCAGCCAGAAGGCTGAAAATATACAGTTACATATTTGGGGAATGGGTTAGGTTAGGTGTGTGTGTGTGTGTGTGTGTGTGTGTGTGTGTGTGTGTAAGGTGTTATTAAGACCTGTGCGTGTCCTTGGCAGAGTTGTTGACACGCATCACCGACTGATCTTGTTCCCCGATACTGCCAGCCTAGTCAGGACCTCTTCCCCCTCCTCCTTATCCTCCTCTTTCTCCTCCTCCTCTGCCTTTTCTCATCTTCCTCTTTATGTTTCTCATCTTCCTCTTCCTTCCCCTCTTCCTCTTCCCCCTCTTCCTCTCCCTCTTTCTCCTCTTCTTCCTCCTCCTCCCTGCAGTTTTTGTCCTCTCCACTGCTGCTAAGGCCTAGTCCTCCCTCTTTGGTACAGCACTTCCCTCTGCTGTACCCTCCTCCTTGGTACAGCACTCCCCTCTGTTGTACCCTCCCCCTTGGTACAGCACTCCCCTCTGCTGTACCCTCCCCCGTGAGCCTGACACAGCCTCACAACTGATGGTTCGTGGTGGTGGTGTGGCATTATCTTCCCCCGAGGAGATCCCGTGATGAATTGTAATCTAATATGCAGACGAGGAGATAATATGTAGTTGTGTGTGTGTGTGTTTGTTTGTTTGCTTGTGTGTTTGGGCGTGTGTGTTTGTCTGCTTGTGTGTGTGTTTGTTTGTATGCGTGTTTGTGGGCTTGTGTGTTTCTGGGTTTGAGTGTTTGTCCACTTGTGTGTTTGTAGATTGTGTGTTTTTGTTTGTAGACTTGTGTGTTTGTGCTTGTGTGTTTGTAGACTTGTGTGTTTGTGCTTGTGGGTTTGTAGACGTGGGTGTTTGTGAGCTTGAAACTTGTTTGTTTGTCTACTTATGTGTTTATGCTTGTGTGCTTAGGTATTTGGGTACTCTTATCTTGATTCCTTGCTTCCTTGAGTCCAACTGTGAGTAGTGGGGCATCCGTGTGTGAGAATGTTTGTTTGATTGCTTGCTTGTTTGAGTCCAACATGTGAATGACCGTGCATTTACTGGCGTGGCGGACAGCTCTTATTATATTGCTTGCTTGCTTGCTTCCTCATTTGCTTGCTTGCTTAGGATCATATACCTCCCCCCCTTCTCCTTCTCCTCCTTTTATCTTCCTCTTCTTTCTTGTTCTTCCTTTATCTTCCTCCTCTTCCTGCCAGATAACCTCCCTCTTCTCCTTCACTATAAGCAGACACTATTCCCTTCCTCCTTCTCCTCCGCCCCCTCCCCTCCCTCTCTACCCCCCTCTATCTCCTCCCTCCTTCACCCCTCCTCAACCACCCCCTCCCCAGCGAGAGTGGGTTACACCGGCAGTAGTACAGGTGAGTCTGTTAGGCGGAGCACGCTGACTCTTGACGTTTGAATGACTGGTTGTTTGTGTGTCTGTTGGTCAGTTATGTGAAGCCGGGAGTCAGGCCACAGTGGGATGACTGGCTGAATAGACTGTCTGACTGTTTGACAATGTTTGAGTGAACTGACTGACTGGCTGACTGACCTGGATAAAGAATTCTGGTAACTAACACTTTAAGTTTAAACTAATTAAGGATATTAGTTTATACTATAATTCTTAAAGGATTAAACCACCGTCCTCAGAAGGTTAATTGTTTTGTATTTAAATATTTTGGCCCTATTATTATTATTATTATTATTATTATTATTATTATTATTATTATTATTATTATTATTATTTTTATTATTATTATTATTTTTATTATTATTATATTTGCCGTATATGTAAAAAACAATGTTTGACCAAAATTTCAAATTCCATTATTGAGATCAATTTTAATTACTTAATTATTATATGTTTTATGTATCATTTATGTTTCCTTATCCGTCTCTTTTTATCTATCTATCTATCTATCTATCTATCTATCTATCTATCTATCTATCTATCTTCACATATTTACCAAAGTATATATTCTTGTACGATTATGCAGTCAGCCTACATTGCCTTTATAAAAACTATATACATTATTTATATATTCTTCCTTATGTGATATAATTACATCAACGAATCTCAATTACTGACCAATTTAAGTCCCTCAATTACGGACGAATTTATATGTTTCAATGACAGACTAATTTATAACGCTTCACTTAACATTTCCGGCGACCCTGTTTTGTGCTGGTGTAGGTTGACATCACTAGAGCCATTCCCGCCCCTCTTGAGGTGATTAGAAGGACTCCAGATGGTAGTTAAGGGGTAGTTATGGGAGGAAGGAAGTGATGTTAACTAAAGGGAGTGGGGTGAGGGAGGGAGGGGGGTTTTAGGGGTCTTACTGGGTAGGGGGAATTGGTGAGGAATATTTTTGTTTTATATCTTTTGGGGGAGTTGGGAGGGTGGTGGGGGGGTGAGGTAGGGAGGAATAGATGGAGGAGGAGGTGGTGAGAGAAGAGTTAGGTGGGTGGGGAGAGAAGAGTTAGGTAGGGGAGAGATGGGTGAGAGAAGAGTTAGGTGGGTGGGGGGGAGATGGGTGAGAGAAGGGGTGGGTGGGGAGATGGGTGAGAGAGAGTGGGTGGGGAGAGATGGGTGAGAGAAGAGTTAGGTGGGTGGGGGAGATGGGTGAGAGAAGGGTTAGGTGGGTGGGGGAGAGATGGGTGAGAGAAGAGTGGTGGGTGGGGGAGATGGGTGAGAGAAGAGTTTGGTGGGTGGGGGAGATGGGTGAGAGAAGAGTTAGGTGGGTGGGTGGGGTAGGGAATATGACACCATTTACTACTGCTGCATCAACCTGAGTCTTCTTTACACCCCAGCGTGAGGTTCTTCCCCTTCTTGTTTACATACCACAGCTGATCTCCCTCCCTCCCTCCTCTTGCCCCATGTGCCCCTCGGTCATCTACACTTTGTTTATGCTGTTGTTTATACTTGTTTACATACACAAACAAACAAACAAACATACACATAAAACACACACACACACACACACACACACACACACACACACACACACACACACACAGAAAGATAAGACAGAAGGAAAGGGAATGTGTGTGTGTAATAATAATGATGATAATTAACGGTCTATTGAAAGAGCCAGGCAGCCGGAAGGCTGAAAATATACTGTTACGTAATTGGGGAATGGGTCTCTTGATTGATAAATAATATACAAGTAACATAAGTGATACAAATATGATATATAATAACTAGGTGGGGAGAAGGTTATACTACAGGGCATTTCAATATAGTGACAGTGCAAAAAGGTAAGATTGACTGGGAGTGAATACACTG